AGTTGTGGCAGTCTCAGCAGGAGCTGGACACACGTGTGGATTGAGATCAGATGGTAAGTTGGTCTGCTTTGGATCGAATCACCTTGGGCAATGTGATGAGCCGACGGATCTGGGAGCAGTTGTGGCAGTTTCAGCAGGCACCTATCACACGTGTGCAGTGAGATCNNAGTTGGTCTGCTTTGGAGACAACGGCGACGGACAATGCGATGTGCCGACGGATCTGGGAGCAGTTGTGGCAGTTTCAGCAGGCACCTATCACACGTGTGCAGTGAGATCGGATGGTCAGCTGGTCTGCTTCGGAAACAACAGCCGCAGACAATGCGATGTGCCAACGGATCTGGGAGCAGTTGCGGCAATCTCAGCAGGCGGTAGGCACACTTGCGCAGCAAGATCAGATGGTCGGTTGGTCTGCTTTGGATGGAATCACCAGGGGCGATGTGATGTGCCGAGGGATTTGGGAGAGTTGATTTAACGGCTTCGTACGATGCGACATGCCGAGGGGTCTTTGAGAAGTTGTGGCATTCTCAGCTGTCAGGGGTTTAGGGTTTAGGGTTAGGTTTAGGGTTTAGGGTTTAAGGTTTAGGGTTTTAGTGTTTAGGGTTGAAAGGTAAACTCTTACGGCCCTGACCCTTTCAGCCACTCAAACCCCACACACGCCCTTTGAACATAAAACCCTCGTCAGCCCCTATAAAGCCCGTATAAAAGTTTGACAAAAAACCTTAAACCATAAACCTTTAAACCCCAGAAGCATTTTTAGGAGACCTAAAACTTTGAACCCTGGGCAGAAAGGTAAGCACCCTTTCGAAACCTTCTTCAACCGAGACTCAGGCCCCCATGTTAGGCACGGAAGACTGAACAGTACACTTCGCAGACCCTACTTGGTTTAGGGTTTAGGGTTTAGGGCCTAGGGTTTGGAGGGTTGTAGGACTTAGTAACTGGGTTCCTGGGTTGTGCCCCTGTACCCTTCTTATTTTCTGGGGTCCCCTTATTGAAGCCGAACAGTAGGGGAAAGGGTACCCTTATTAAAGGAGGCTACTCAGAAACCTAGTTATATATAAGTAGTTAGAAGTGCCCTAAGTCCTAAGTGGGATCCTTCATTGGGGTTATGGTACTTATAGCTCTGGAAAATAACTATATGCTAAGTGCCCCGACCCTTCAAGTACTCCTGATCTCTGTAGCAAAGCAAGAAACTCTTTTAACTTTCTTGGGGTACTCTGATCGCTATAGTTATCAGGAAGGCAATTGCAAGAGTCTGCTGTTGGGACATGTTTGTAGATTTTATTGTGCCTGTCAGGATCTGATTTCCGAATCTGTTTCAAAGGCTTGACGGAGCCAACTTAACAGCAATTGTCATACCTAATGCCTTAATGCCCTGAACAAAACCTTCTACTCAGTCGCTTGACAAAGGCCCATTAAAGCTCCTCTACTAAGTCCGCTCACAAAGGCCCATTGAAGCTCTAAGTCCGTTGACAAAGGCCCATTGAAGCTCTAACTCCGTTGACAAAGGCCCATGAAAACTCCTCTACTAAGTCCGTTCACAAAGGCCGAGTAAAGCTCCTCTACCAAGTCCGTTGACAAAGGACCATGACAGCTCCTGTTACGAGTTTTGTGGAGACCTTGTGAAAAATCAGCTCTTACAGTGCCAAGATCAAAGTATCGCACGGGGTATAAGTGTTTCTGCCAGCATCTGATCCGGCACAAAGTCCAAAAGCCACGAGCCTCCAACACTCCGGCCCCGGCCACCGGGGAGTCAGTGGAAATTTGCAGGAGATTGCAGTAGAGCCATAGCAGCGTCTGTCAAGCAGCAAGCGTTTTTGAAACACAACGGTGTGTTGTAGGTCGCTCCAACTCATGGACCCCGTCTCAGGCACTTGCCCCCAATGCAGCTTCCACCACAGCGCCGAAACCCAAATCGTGCGAAAGTCATCTGGGAGCTGCACCATAGCAGCTTCCATGTGCCCATTTCGTAGAGTGCCAATGAATTGCTTCGCGCGGACTGAGCCCGCCATAGCAAGATGAGCTGATAGGCTCCGTCGCCATCGAACAAGCTGGCATTGGCCAGCCTCCCGAAGAGGCCAAAGAAGAGGCGAAGCAGACGAACGAAGCCCCGGTGCCTCGCGAAGAGCTTGAGATGGACAGGATGGTTAAGGCCATTTGGTCTGGAAATTTTCGTCTCCTTCTGAGCAACCCTCAACGGTGCTAGAAGGGTTCTATGATATGGGGGCTGTAATACTAGCAGTAATTGTTCCCTTATGGGGGCCCCAAAGTAACCCTGTAGTATCCTTGAACGGTGCCCGTATTGCAACGCTTGTCGTATCCCTCAACGAGACCACCATGTTCCAATTATTAAGACCCCTATGTTCAACCATGTTTAGTATGAAACCCTTGTAGAACCCTTCGAAGGAACCCTTTTAGGATTTTGAAAAGGACCCTAAACCCTAAACCCAAGACCCTAAACCCTAAACCCTTCCAAGGAATCCGGTTAAGATCTCTGCCCTACCTTAGGTCCCCGAAGTGGGCGTTGGGCTGCGAAGCAAAGCCTTGCAGCGAGTGCGAGGCCATGAATTACGGCTGTACTTGGAGGATCATGGGACTTAGTAAGTAAGGTTATGAGTACCTTAATTGGGGTTATAAGTCATTATAAGTATAATTACCTTATTTATAACCCTAGTTACTAAATCCCATTATCCTTTAAGTAGGCAGGCTTGTAATGGGGCGTTTAGGCTCCTTTAACGGCTTCTACAGAGCTTTTGGAGGGGGCTTATAGGGTTTCGTGTCGAAGGTTAAGGGCCTTTTTGGGTTTTGAGGGGTTTAGGGTTTAGGGCCCTGTAGGGTTTAGACGAATATAGGGTTGAGGGCCACATAGGGTTTGGAGGGGTTTAGGGTTTAGGGCCTTCTTGGGGCTTAGGGTTTAGGCTACCAAGGCAAAGTTCAAAGGCGAAGCAGAGGACTTATGCTTCGGAGTTTCCAAACAAAAGTCGAATTCAGGGATTTGGGGCTCTGTAGGACTTTGAGTTTAGGGTTTAGGGTTTTCGGGTTTCGGGTTTAGGGTTTAGAGTTTCGGGTTTAGGGTTTTAGTGTTTCAGGTTTAGGGTTTTCAATTTAGGGTGTAGGGTTTGCAGACTGCATGAGAGCATTAGCAACCGCGACACCTGTGGCAACACGTGTTCGAGAGCACCTCATGCTTCCTTCGATTTCCTACAGCAGGGTTTAGGGTTTAGGGAGTGCCGTTTCTTTTGAAGGTGAGGTTCCGGGTTTAGGGTTTAGGGCAATCCCCTGTGGAATTGGCATACGGTTGATGATATGAATCCTGCATTACATAGTTCCCATAGTTTAGGGCCCTTCACGTAATGCAGGATAAATTCATCAACAGCAGCATTCAACCGTAGGCTTATGCGTTTTGGGGGTTATCGCTTCGGGCTTGAAGGCTTCAGACAGGTTTTGCGTCTCGTGTGCTCTGAGTCTGGTATTTTCGGGCAGCTGCTATACTATGCAGTGCTCTGCAGCATCACTGCCTCCGAAAGGGTTTGGCTTTAGTGTTTGTAGCATCGTTACTATATTGGAGGTTCATATTTGATAAATGACACTTGTGCACAGACAACCACATACACACACACACACACAATTTTGTATCTGAATAGTTCTACAGCACAACTTGTGAAGTTGTGCGACACCACAAAGCTCGCACTTCCAGGTTCTGTGTAAACCCTAAACCCTAAACCCTAAACCCTAAACCCCTAAACCCCAAAACCCTAAAACATATTAAAGGCGATGAAGCCGATGCCGCCGTACCAGTTGCTCTAGGTCGCTGCGCGTGAACGTGGAAGCGCTTTGCATGCACTGACGCACTCGAGCGTGGATAAAGGAAACAGAAACTCAAAAGCTTGAATAATTACCCATATTATTGATGATGTAGATCCTGCATTACCTGAAGGACCCGAAACATCAACCGTACCAGCCCTCACGGTTCCCAACTAATTACTGACAAAGTACCACAAGTTTTCGCATAAAGCAAGCAACACAACTAATTGCTCGAGCTATTCAGGCCCCCTACATTACCCACGGTGCTTTTAAGGAACCTTCCCTGTTCAACCCTTCTTGAAGTCAATACCCCATACAACCTTTACATACTTCGGTTTAGGGTTTAGGGTTTAGGGACCCTAAACCCTAAACCCTAAACCCTAAACCCCTTCACCCCTTAACCCCTTAACCCCTTAACCCGACCCAGAGCCACAGATCGGTTGGAGCCACGGCATGCAGGCGCCACGCTTCCGTCGATCGCATGTGGCACCCGGGAACTCAAGGCGATTCCGAGAGCTCAATGCAATGTTGGGGTTGAGGGTTTAGGGTTTAGGGTTTAGGGTTTAGGGTTTGGGGTTGAGGGTTTAGGATTTAGGGTTTAGAGTAGAGTTTAGGGGCTCCTGATTATTAGTTATAGCACAATATACCCCAAACCCTGCTCAATTATTTGTAAGGCCCTGACATTGGCTGTTGACTTGCGTAGGTGGGGTGTCAAGTGAGGTGATTTCTGCATTCCACGGGGTTTAGGGTTTAGGGTTTAGGGTAGCTTTTCTGCTTTTCTGGTTTCAGAAGGTAACTCCGAAAGAAAGAGGCAACAGGTCACGACTGGGATACAGCGACATGGATCAAGCCAGAAGGGCGGCAAGCGATCTTTGCCACGGCCCAATGTTCGAGAAGAGCAGAAAGGTTTAGGGTTTAGGGTTTAGGGTTTAAGCACAGAAAGGTTTAGGCCAGTATCAACACAACAGGAAGCTAAAAGAGCACCCAAGAGTCTTGAAACCTACAACCCCCAAACCTTGAACCCTAAACCCTAAAACCTCGAGCAA